ATCCACCCAACACTTCATTGTGCCTTCCAAAATATCTGAAAACTAAATGGAAAGATGAAATTTACAAAGCAACCAAGCAACCCGCGCGTGAATAGTGTTCTTTGCTCCCTGAATTGCCCAAAAAACTAGAGAGGAAGGGAATATTTACATCGAATGCCAATAAATTGATGAATAATCTATGAATAGGTTATGAATAGTTTACCAATAGTAACCTCCTTTGTAAATCGCACGAAAAGACGAAAAACCAAATTTAGGTGGGCACTATGCAAAGGCAAAATGGGGCAACTGGAATTTTGGAGGACTCACCTTTCATACTTTTAGTGATGATAATACTCCATCTACTTAAGATACTCTCATTTTTTATTTAAAATTGTTAAAATTATTTTTTCAATTTTTTCTCCAATTTAATTAAAAAATTTTGAGTGGTAATATTCATCAATAAATTTTTAAGGTAATAATTTGTTCTGAGTCAATTATTTTATAAAATAATTTACACTTTCTATATAAAAAAATTACCAATATTTTAAAATAAAAAGAGTAAGTATAATGTGATAACTATATAAATTGTTGTTAATTTTCAATTAGTAAAAACATTAAAAAATAATTATTTAAAAATAGAGTGTTCCTAATTTATATTCAATCAAACTCTTAAATAATAGTTAAAGGGTCTGGTTGAAATTTTTGTTTTAATAATTACAAGGTGTCAGTGTTGTACAAATCAAAGAAACAATCCCCTGCGATCCAGCCCACCTTCTGGATTATTATATGTAAAGGAAAACCAACTTTTAAAAGGGCTGGACCTGAAGGGGTGAAATATTTAGCAGCCCTCCTACACCGGTACCCCTAAAATAATTGGGCTATTTTGTTGCGGACTACTGGACTATTATTAGTATGGTCTTATATTTTAACATTTAAGGGCCTTTGAGCCTTTTCTTTCCCTCAACTTGTATTCTTTTTTTTTTTTCTTTATTTATGGTCACATGTTTGGTTAACTTGGGTACATTTCAAAATTAATTTTCATCTAATAATTTTAAAGGCGCACAGCAGCATGCAAGTTTAATTTCTTTTGCTGCTGAGTTAAGACTTCAACCTGAACATTAGTTATAAGCTTATATATACTATAAGATAACACTTTAATTACATATTTGCTTCTCAAATCATGTCTCTTAATTAATTTCATTTCCCACCAACTCGAAATCAATGAATACCAGGAGAGAATCAATGGTGAGAAAGGAGAAAAAGAGAAGAAGGTCGCTTTGAACACAAAAGCTCTGCCGCTGGAAAAAGGGTACATAAGCATTCC